AACTGCTGTAATACCCAGTCCCTTCCATTTTGTCAAAATAAAAGTTAACTGTGTACTGGGACGTGTATCTTTGTACCATTGTACCATGCTGGAAGTCATTAAAATCCTGAGAGCGACCCTTTCTTCTATTTACTATCTGCGGAGGCAGTCTGCATGTCTAGGTGATGAATTTTATAGACCTCTGGCCAAGAAAAGGATGACAGAATCGGGTATTTAATGACCTAAGAGGTTGGTTGGGCTGTTTCATTGCTTGAGTTCTTTCCTTTATTTAATATTAATTTTAGAACCATCAAACATTGATTTATGAACTCTTCTATAAACATCAACATGTATTGTTTTGTTTTAAAGGTATAGTTGAGAATTTTCATGAATTTTTGAAAAGACATGTTCTCACCATTTAAAAAAAAAATAATGCACATACACAACCCTGTACCCGCTCCTGAGAGGGAATGCGTATTAAAAGCGTGCTACAGTAGAGCATGCACGAGCCCATTTCTCCTCGTGCACGCTCTGTTTAAAAGTTGCTGTTTGCATCGCTCATACAAGCTTACTTTCCAAAAGAAGATTTGCAATTTTTCCACTATGTCAGACTCACCACTGGTAATTGAAAAAGGGGACGAGCACGTAGGACTGCCTTATGTAAACATATCACCAGAATGATTGACAATTAGAAGCATCGCTTATTTAGATGATCCACCCATTTGTTTAGTCATTTGTTTTTTTATTTTTTATTTTGTGGGGTCTGAACGCATGGCCTTTTAATGGCAATCATCTGTCATTTTTGTTCAAACACGAGACAAAATATCAGTCATTTGAAGAATAAAATAACAGACAATTTTCATCTCCAACCTTCATCTCTAAATTGTAAACTCATTAAACCTAAAAAGATGTGCCGTTCTCGTTCGTTTGTTTCTTTCTTTCAGGTCTTTTATATGAACACACATCACGACACTGGCGTTGGCTGAAGTAGTTTGCCCAGAAATAGGGGGGTTGTCGGCTCCGGCTTTAAGTGTAGTTGTGTGCTTTGGCACTTCACACGTATTGCCAACTGATGGTGGTCGGAGGGACTAGTGGTGACAGTGTACAGCAGCCTTGCTTCTGTCAGTGAGCCCCATGGCATTGTGGCTATAATGTAGCTTGCCACCATCAGTGTGTCTGAATGGGTGAAAGACTGAATGTAGCGTAAAGCACTTTGGTCAAGTCTCCTGAATTGAAAAAATGTTATACAAGTACAGACCATTTACCATTTTTTTATCATCACATTAATCTGCAGCAGAAATTATTTTCAATACTTTCAACTTGTAGTATTTATACATTTAAATAAACATGAAATACAGGACTCATGAAAAGCAACACCTAATGTGAGAAGAGAATCTGTACCTTTGTTTAGAGTCGCCCGATTCCATAAAAGAATGAAAAAAGGTAAGAGGCACAAAGAGGTTGAAAAATGCTATAGAGGCATTTAGATGTTAAATTCACCCATTTAACATTTAGATTGTGTGCAATTAAAAGTAGGATAGCACCCACCGACTGATAAGCAATCAAACAAATCTGAGTTTAATTCAAATATTTGTGCTAAGCAGCAATTGAACTCAAGTTTAGAAATTACTTTTTGTAATTATTGTTGAAAAATATGTTATGCTCTCATCTTTTATTTAAGCAAAAGGAATAAAGAAAAAAACATGCAGCCAATTTTCCTCTTGTCGCTTAACTGTGATCTAATTGCTTAGGAAATTTAAGTGAGACTATAGTTAGGATTTGTTCATAGTTACATTTAACTTTTTGAACAATATTTGCAAAACCTACTAACAAAACACTACTAACAAAACACAAAACATGGTTTGCATCAGACAAACCACCTTAAGATTTGGACTGAACTGTTCAGATTAACTGTGTCTTTGTCAAGCAGAAGTATACTTCATTTCATGACAGTTAACTGCAAGGATTTTATTAAACCTGGAATTTTTTATTCTAATAGTAGCAGTAGTGATATGTTGCATGTGGGTGTTAAAGAGAACAAGGCATAAAGAACTTAGACAAAAATGCCCTGAATTACATTAGAAAGAACTGAAAGCAGGGGTGATTTTATTTAATTATTTGTTAAAGAGTATGTTTGACAAATACTTGCAGGCTCTCCTCTAAACTCATTATTTCAAGGAATAAGACAGGAAAAGGTCAAGGCCATAGAAAGGACAGAACAGACAAGGCATGAGGGACACGGACAAGAGGCAACAAGGACGAAAAATTTAGATTTTTCTTTTACCATTTTCCATTTATCTCATGATTATTTAGGCCTGTTATTTGTTTCAAACATAATAACTAAAATACATGGTGTACACATCCCCATTCAACAGCTCTTCTATCCATCCAGGGGTACCACTCTCACTACACGCAAGTGTGTGAGTCACACATGAGCTAAATGTGAATCAGCTATGATTCATCAGCCCTAAACATGCAGTATAACAGGCATTCAGTTTATTATCTTATTTCTATATTAGTCCTGCTCACAGCTTTACCTTTAGCATTATGCTGAGCCATTTGAGGCCCTGATAACCGATTCCAGCTATGTGGGGCAGCAAAATTGAACTCATTTGTAAAATACTAAACATCAGGCATTTTAATCATTAGCAAAAAAGACCATTATTAAATTTAACAGAAATATCACAATTTCAAAGCACTATCGGGGAACCAGAATCCATCAGAGTCTATTGACACCAGCAATGAAGACTAATAAAGGTTTTGATTCAAAGGGTTTTCAATGTGAAGCTTTCCAAAATATAAAACAATCTATTTAAAATATCTCACTCTACGGGTCAAGCATGGCATGGATAAATAAGGGCTGACACTAGAAGGAGTCGTGAATAATATACACTTGCCAAACTAGTCAATCAACATTAATGATTTTAGTTAAAATATATTTTTTGTATAAATTCAGTGGGGTTTTTTATGTCAGCTTTTCAATAAAGATAAAAGTCTGTAACTTAAAACAAAAAACGTTGCCCAACTGCTCCTCTTTTTAAATTATGTTCTCTTCTGGGGAGAGTTAAAACGCTGTTTCCCTTTATAATACTTAAAACTAACACGGCATAAAAAAAACAACAACAAGAAAAAAAGAGTCAAACACGGTGGTGGTACTGTGAAGGTTTGGGGATGTTTTACTGCTGTAAACTATTTGTTGTTATCGGTAAAATTATTAATTTACTCTCTAAATGAAAATCAATCTCATAACCTTAAGAACTGCTGCACTTGGGTTATACAGCAAAAAAATGATCTGAGGCAGAAAAGCAAGGCCTCCCTTCAGTGGCTGAAAAAAAAAATGCTATCTAACATGTAGGTATGGACAAAAAAAAAAAAAAAAAAAAAAGCAAAAATAAGTAAAATCTTTACAAAACTATGGGCCTGAACTACCAAGATCTAAAGGTGATCCACAAAGATTGCCTGTTAAATAAATGCAGATTGTGTGTGCTATTAAGAGTTTGGGATTGGATTTATTTTGCACTTTGCAAAGGAAACTGTAAATTGCATCAACACTGGGCACAGATGGCCGGCATGATCACTATGTGGAGAAGATGCATACAGAAGAGAAGAGGAAGCACCCTCAATCTCTATCTGTTCATGTGAAATGAAAACAATTGCGTTTATTGCAGTATTTAAAATAAATAATTAAAACAGCAGCAATGTACAGATAAGCTTTTTCTTTCAAAATATAACATAATGGATCGGATCACTGATTAACAGAGAATTTCCACTCCTCTGGAAAAAGTATGTATGGACCGACTATTCATAGTATGCATGGAGGGGTGAAAGGTAACGCAACACCCCAATGACCCCCCCACCTTTAAAATGAATCCGGCACCACTTGACGACACACCAAGAAACTACCCAGGACGATGTCACACTGCAGGTCTTGATGCTCAATTCCCATTTTTTTTTTGTGAAATCCGATTTTATTGCGTTGCGGTTCACTTTTCCAAATATATGCGACTTGTATGTGATCTCCTGTGTGAACTGCGTTCATTCAGCTTAAGTGTCCCTTCTTTTCAAGATGGTTAAAAATAAATAAATATTGCTCTCCGCATCATCGTCCGCTATGGTGTTTGTTTTTCTTGCCGCTTTTGCGAAGCAAGAAGAAGAATAGTGACCTTTGTCGGGTATTAATGGCGTTCAGGTCAGATGAATGCAACCTGGCTGTTCAGACACAGGTCGCATTTTAAAAGGTCAGATTCGTATCGGATTCAGGACCACATAGCCAAGTGGCCTGGGTCGCACTGGAAAAAATCGGATCTGTGTTGTTCAGACAACCATGAAAAGATCAGATCCAGGTCGCATGTGGGCAAACAAAAAATCGGATTTGGGTGACTTCAGCCTGCGGTGTGATCGTAGCCTAGCAGCGGTGAGAATGGATCCATCTAGATGCAAGAACATGTTGCATTTATCAGAAAAATAGCGTTACGCAAAAGACAATGTCTGCTGTTTTAATTTGTGATCGTCATAATGTGGACAAATCCAAAGAATATTTATTCTTTTGTTGTATTTAGGCCTTTTTTCACCAAAATAACCTCAGACATTTCACAATGGCTGTGGTATAATTTTTAACTTAGAATGATGTACCTTCTTTTTTTTTGGAGGAAAACACTCCACCCCACCCAAAAAAAAAACACACACACAAAGAATGTAAGTCTCCTAAGGCCCTCATATAACCTTGAGCCGCCTCTGCTTATGCTGAAGCAAAATAAAATGAAGGAATTCCTCTTCTCTCATTCCACCCATCCCTCATGCAATATCACCCCCTTCATGCCAGAGAGGGAGTAAACAGCCCAGGGAAAGCAAAAGCAACCACAATGTTTTGTTCACAATGGGAATAGGCTTGATATTGCCTTTATAAAATAAATTAGCCCCCAAATCATTAAATTGACACCTAAGAATCTAAACCAATCTGACTCCAGCATGTTGCACAGGGGCTTATGTGTGAATGATTGCTCACAGTTTCCTGTCTTTACCTTATTTTTAATGTTGCAGTGGCAGCAGACAGTCCAAAGATACTTGAGGGTTCTCCATAGCAGGATGATGAAGAGACCCCCGAAAAACGTCACCATGGAGGAAGCGAGGAAAGCCCACCACATGCGCTGTCCATAATCGTCGCATGGCACCTCAGAGGTGTAAGGGATGACAAGGCCTTCCATCTTGGATATTAAGATCGAAGAGTCCGGTTTGTTGTTGTTATCGATGCTGCTTGTCCTCATAGAGCTGTCGCTTCCATGGGGATCCGTGCCATGTGCCTCGGCTAGCATTGAGGAGCCTTGGAGAGCCTGTGCCAGCGTCCCCAGCCCCACTCACCAGCCATATTGCTTAAAAAAAAATAAAGGAATTTTTTTTTATTTGTGTTAGATTCTGATTAGTCCACCTGATTGAGTCCAGATTTTTTTAAGGGTATGAATTGTTTATTTTTTAATGACGGGTTGAGCCGCCGTGCACTCAGAGCAGACCAAAATAGCGCGTCGGTGGCCCCTTGGAGAGAGGCATTTAAATCCGCAATAATAACGACGAATCTGAGGCGCTTCTCATTCTGAGGGGCTTTTCTGCCTCTTTCACGCCATAAGCCCTGACAGGGACGGCGTCGTCTGCAGCCGCCGAGGCTGCTGCCGTTTTGTTTGTTTTTTCTTCCTGTTGCAGACTATCAAAAATAAAAATAGAAATTGGAAAAAACAATAAAATCGTTCCCCTTCGTGTTCCTGCTTTTAGCCGTCTTCCATTCAGGGATCCTTTTCAATCAATGGATGAAGAATCGTTTTTTTTCTCTCTCTCTTCCTCAATCGTGCCAAATGCGCTCCTAATGAGAAGAAACGCGCGTCAGAAGGCTACATATCCAAACAGGCGCTTCTGGTCGTCGCGTTAAGGAGAGGATTTGCGCGCAGCTTGGGTGGATGTCGCTGCGTCCATTCGGTCCTCCTGGCACGGAGCGGCCAGCTGGAAGCGCCTGTCAGATCTGCTCCAGGAGAGAGGAGAGCTGGAGCTGGAGGTGGTGGTGGGGGGGATTTACAGGTAGGAGGGAGGAGCCGAGCGCTAATAATAAAGATGGACAGAGAGGCGTTTTTAAATTCCAGAGGCAGATCTGGAACCCTGCCGCTCTGACTGCGAAACTGCGCCTCTGCGTCTTTATTCAATGCCTGTGACGCACGTCGCAAAGAAGATCAGTCAGAAATTGAAGGGTTATATCTAGCTTTATAAACACACACACACAAATGGGGGTATTCCACCAGACTGTCATCAACGATAGTGCAGGATTCTCATTTTTTTAGATTAATAATATAGAGGCATTCTATTGAGCAGGTTTTTATTATTAGGTTTTAATTGATTGCCCATCATACAGGGGCGGAGCTAGATGGGGGGCACCCCTTAGCCAATCAAAATTTTAACTAAACTTACATGCTTTTTTTATGTATTCATTATCTCACATAACTGATTTCTTTAAAGAAGGGTTTTTATACACTTTTTTTTTTTTTGTGAATGTAATGTAACATGCCTCCTTATGTATTTATTTATTAACTTATACTGGAATTGTTATGGCAGTTTTTTTATTAGTGAATGCAGTGTGACACAAAGTTTGGACTATGTAGCAGCCAGAGTCTGTACCCAGATAAAATTTCCTTTGGGACAATAAAATTTATCTTATCTTATCAATTTTCACCCCTAACATTTTGTTCCCTCTCATACAGATGGTGGCAACGGTAATACTCTAATTGGAATATTCGAAACATTTTATTTTTTGTGGTTAATTATACACATCAATATACATCAAAGATGATAAATACAGAATTCATGCTCTTTTTACAACTAGATTTTGTGTTATATCGGGTAAAGAGAAAAATATGTATCTCTGAAAACTTAAGTGAAATCAAAAATAAATAACAATTTAACTAAAAAAATGATAAAATAATCAATTTATCTAGATATTAGTGCTTGTAAATATCAATTTTATGCAGAATGTTAATTGATACAAGTAGGTAAATAATGACAATGATGATTTATTTATTCCTCAGAACTCAAAACTGAGTTTTATCCACTAAAGCTTTTATCTAGAAATTACAGATGTTTAAAAATATGTGTCTATTTGTTAGCAAAGGCTGTAGGAAAGTATAGTTAGTCTTTATTTAGAAAATATGGATGTTTTAAATGTTAATTTTCCTGTTGGACCAGTGTAGACTGACCGTGAGGTTCTGGTGCCTATCCACTTTTGCCCACTCCCCCGCCGCCCCCCCTCAGTGTGCATTGGTTATTGCCTGGACACCCTTATAAAAAATTTCTGGCTACGCCTCTACCATCATAATCAAGTATAACACTCCCAGCATTTCCCTTCATACTGTTAGGTCAAAAACAGGTGTAGATTGGTGATGACCGTGAGGCATGGCTGCTCACTGGAAACCCACAAAAAGCCACAGCAAGGGATATGGGGAAACAGCTGGCTTAGGTCCCTGAATAACCACTGAGCCTAAAATGTTGACAAGGCTGGTGCTCATGCACCTGTGGCACAAACGCACTCAGACTTCCCTAAAACCTTTTTTTTTTTGCAACAAAAGGGAAATTAGTCTGTGCTTTAATTATATAGATAAGATGGTGTAGATTTTTTTTATTACAGTTATTCAGATCACAAAGTTAAAACAATATATTTAGACACAATATACCATAAGTAAGCTTTTTATGTGTTTCCTTTATTATTTTCTAACGTTTGTTATTTAAAGTCAATTTAAATAAAGAAATTCAGTTTCTCAAAATATGTACCGGTAGGCTAAATATTGCGTAACACAGTGTTTGTTTTGATCAACACAATCATGGCAAATAATGCTTTCAATTCATCCAAGCAACATTTTAGTGGTGACCCACATGAATTTTCCTAAGGTTGAATGGGACACTAGTGGGCCTGGATTGATTCTTGTTTAAAAACCATAATAGGTGGACTAAATCCAAAGACAAATGAGTTAGGCACAATCAGTAGGTCTAGTCTTGGTCTGAAATGGTTACTAAGAAAATTATTTCACACTGTGCAGCACATCGAGAAACCACATGGCTCTTTGAAAGTTGTCCTGTATCAAGCCTCTACAGGGGGATCAATGTGAGGCCAGTACTGTATGTAAGCCGTATAATGGTCTGTTCTGTGGCCAAATTTTCAATTTGATTCATTCGCATACAGAACTCAAATGTAAATAAAAAGTCTTCATGAAGAGCTTCAAGCAGTAAAACCTACTGCATCCAAGCATATTAATGTGAAGCTGAGTAGAAGAAAACAAATTGCAAAAACAAGGGGGGGCTGGAACAACTGTGGTCTGATAGGATTGTCAGCAGACCCTATTTATGTCGGGATATATAGACAGACATGCACTCTAAATATTGTCTCCTTATACTGTAAAGTAAATTTAACTTTCTTTTATTGCTCATATCCTAATTAAAAGATAACAGAATAGCAGTTCATCAATTGCTTAAAGCCACAATCTTTAAAATTAAAGGAAATAATGCCTAGAATGTATCTATATGTGAATTAAACATTTTTAAATGCATTACATTAAATGCATTACTCAACCTGAAGGCTTGTCCCCTTCAGGTTGGAGGAGAGTCCCTGCCTCAAGTGGAGGAGTTCAAGTATCTTGGGGTCCTGTTCACGAGTGAGGGAAGAATGGAGCGGATGATCGAAAGACGAATCGATAGACGGATCGTGGTGTAGAGAGAGCTGGTGTAGAGAGAACTGAGCGAAAAGGCAAAGCTCTCAATTTACCGGTCGGTCTACAATCCTACCCTCACCTATGGTCATGAAATCTGGATCATGACCGAAAGAACGAGATCCCGGATACAAGCGGCTGAAATGAGCTTTCTCCGCAGGGTGGCTGGGCTCTCCCTTAAAGATAGGGTGAGGAGCTCAGTCATTCGGGAGAGGCTCAGTGTAGAGCCGGTTCTCCTCCACATCGAGAGGAGTCAGTTGAGGTGGCTCAGACATCTTCTTCGGATGCCCCCTGGACGCCTCCCTCGGGAGGTGTTCCAGGCACGTCCCACCGGGAGGAGGCCCAGGGGACGACCCAGGACAAGCTGGAGAGACTGTCTCTCGGCTGGCCTGGGAACGGCTAGGGCTTCTCCCAACAGAGCTGGAGGAGGTGTCTGCAGAGAGGGAAGTCTGGGAGTCTCTGCTTAGTCTGCTGCCCCCGCGACCCGGTTCCGGATAAAGCGGGAGACGACGAGTACGAGTACGAGTACTCAAAAATATAAAATTTCCATGATATTAAATTGGTTCAGATGAATGATTAGTATTGGGGGTCTTCTGTTGGCCTTCGGAGCTTGACTTCTCATTCAGTTTATTTCAGTTCAGTTAAAAAAGCTTTATTAATCTAAAAGGGAAATTAAATGTTATCAGCAAATTCTACAAAAAATAAAAAAATGTGTTAAGTTAATATTAATTCAAACCAAATCTAAAATGTACAATGAGTCGTCCATAGAAATTCAACTGAGTCTTCATTTTATTTCCTAATTTAGTTTTCAGAACTAGATTAGTTTAGTTTCGATTTTAAAAAGGACAATTGATTCTAAATTAGATAAACAGGATGGAGGAATGGTCAAGTTCACTTTTTAGTATCTCAATCTCCTAGAAAAGAAAAAGCCCATTGTTTTAATAGAAAACCTTAAAACAGCAATCCATGCCTATATTCTTTACATTAGAGTGAGCCACTTATCTTAGAAACCTGTTGAGCTGCTTTGAAATGGAACTACTAGGCTTTTAAACAGAGCTGGCAACAAGGAAAACACCACAACTCTTCTGTTAAATGTATAACTGTTAGCCCACTAGGGGCGCTAGACATACAACTCTTGACTTAAACCCACCAAAAGCAACAGGTAATAGGGACTGTTGCTCAATAAACAGGTCTCTTTGGGTGTTTTAGAATCTGATCGCAGAACACTTTGGACCAACAGATTCAGAAGTCATGGAGTAACTTATATAGACAAGGCCATATTTACCGTCTCGATTAAACCCCACATCAGAAAGCCAAAAATATGTCTCATATGAGGCGATTTTCAGATATACAACAGATTCTCATTGCTGCAATGAGGGAAAAAATACTCACCAAGACAGTAATGTCCTGAATAAAGTCAAAATGTTGAGAATGGGCCAGTCCAATCTTAAACAGAATTTAAGATAAAAGAATAAAAAAAAATATGAAGTTACTTGGTCTGCATGGGAAATTGCAGGTTAATAATTATGTCTAAAATTTTTCCTTAGCATGTCATGGTCAGCTCTATCTAATAAAACAAGGAGATCTAACACTCTGCTTCACGCATAAATGTTCTGAAAAGTAAACATGTCAAAGTATGACATGTGTCCTATCATAGCGATTTATTATCCAGTAAATATAAATGCTCCACCAAAAATAGCCTGTGGTAAGAGCGAGCTGTCGTTTAACTTCAAGCAGGGCTGAGCTGTAAAACATGGAAGACAAGCCAATTTTTGAATTATAGCTCTTCACAGTTATGACTCCATGTGCAAGTGGTTGAGTTCACATAAAACAGGCCACAGATCAGTCCCGACGCGGCTATCTGCTATTTGGATGCATGCCGAATATTGGATTGAGAGCAAAAACAATCCTTAAGTTAACAAGTTGGTTGATTTCCAAAGCTTGATTTATAATACCTTGCAAATATTTAAATGTCCTTTCAATGTTTATATGTTTGTATTAAATTACCACCTCAGACAATAGGAAAACTCACAGTAGTACTACACTGAGAAGTAATAAAAAGAAGAAAAATCGTTTTCAAAATTTTATTTTAAAAAGATAAAGAGTGTGATGTGCATCCGTATTCATCCGTCTGGGTCAATACTTTATTTGAAATTCTTTACAGCTGTAAAGCTTCTTCAGTACATCCCTACCAGCTTTATAAAATAAAAAATGTTCTTATTTGCAACATAGCTC